ATGTGTGTGTGTGTGTGTGTGTGTGTGTGTGTGTGTGTGTGTGTGTGTGTGTATGATGTTTATATAGTGTTAAATCATTTTCAGCTTCCTTTTTGGCATCTGCATTTGGTAGAAGGCCAAATTGACAAAGGTCATGCAGAATAATGTAGTATTTTAATTCCACAGCAGAGAAAGCGATGTAGTCTCTGTAAGTAGGTCTAAGGGGAAAAATATTGGTATCTGTTATCGGCCAAATAAGTTTTAACATATCGGCCAAAAATCCAATATTGTTCATCCCTATAAATACGATCTTGTGCATTCTGTTAACTCTCAGAATAAGTGCAGAGGATCAGTCTCGGCTCCATTCACACCAAACTTTAACTGCTTATCTGTAAAGTTGTAGAATCGAGTCATGTTGTGTCTTACAGTCATTGGGCTGTGACAACCATCTTTTGTCGAGCTGACTCCAAACGTTAATCAGTTGTAAAGAGACATCTAATGAGTATTTCTGCCCGTTATATTAAAATTCTTCCAGTAGTTTGTGAAATATTTTGGTAACAAACAGACACGCGCACATACAGTCATGAGTAAAAACATTATTTCTCAACCTTCGCTTTTCGGAGGCGGACATTTTTTTTTTTTTACTTTTTGAATGTTTTTCTGTCGGCTCATCATCTTTACAGCAGTCAAGGGATTAAACAAAATGCTGACACGGCACTGGAAACATGACCAAGTAATTAACTTGTGCAACAAGCTTAAACAAAAACTATGTGCGTTCACTGACTGCACGGTGTCTTACGAGGAATTTACAGCACGCCTTCCTTTTAAGATGGTGTCCCATTCCTCACTGTGGATGTTTACGGTTTATCAAAGGAATAGTAAGATAAAAGACAAAACGCACAGTGGTTGCATTTATGTGCACGTTTCATCCGCTTTGCTGTAACGTTTGCACCCATCCTTAACTTTTGTGACATCCCTCAAAACACAGAGTCACCAAAGAACTGTTTGCTCTTTACACACAGCCGTCTGGTTGTGCACCGACTCTGCTGGAGCTGAACGTGCTTACTGTAAAGCAGCAGTGTGTCGCAAGCTGCACTCACAACTTGTGTAGGACAGATTGTGTTTATGTGGCTAAAACCAAAAGGCTCCACGTAGTTGAATTTAATTTGATCATTTTGAGGTTCACGTTAGCAGAAAATGCTAAAAGTCAGACAAAGCAGGGAGAGAGTGGCCGGGAAAAAACTAATTAGTTCAGAGAAAACTTTAAATAGCAAAGCTATTGCATTTAGTAAAAATAAAATGACTTGCAGTTGACATCCAACATCCTAATGTGTGTATAAATCCTTTTCATGAGAAGTGAAGAGAAGTTCCCTCACACTTTTAAATCCAGATTTTTGTAGATTATAAAACTACACATGAAACCAACAGCAACACACTGATGAGTTATTACTGCGCTGTAATCCTAAGAGTTTTAAAAAAGTCAACAGGGCTTTTGGTGTTTCTTGAAGATGTTTTACCGCTTGTATGAAATATTGTTTCCATTTCTGATAATGGACTGTGGGCCATTGATTGAGATCAACAATGACTTGTCTTTGTGATGGAAGGTGAAACAGTAAAAGAAGTGCAGTCACCTTGTTTTAAACGCTCAGGGTTGTCGTGTCCTGGATGACTAAGAATTTTCATCAACATACCAGGACAATAACAAAGACACTCAGTTGACGTCTGTTATATTCCTCCAAGGTTTCCAAGAGTAAATGCTACTTGGATGTTTACTTTTTTAGATTACTCCTCATAAACTTGCTCTTTTTTTTTCTTTCATATTCTCTCCTCCCCTCCCCCCATATTGTTTTTACCTTTTTAAAATTTTGAAGTAAACACGTTTTGAAATGGTTTTTAGATGCGAGTGTGTGAGACGTTACTGTAAAGAGGAAAAAAGTTGTTCTTCCACAAATGTCTCTGGACTGGAAACCAAGTTTTGAAGCGTGGTTTCTCAGCTTTAGAGAGCTTCGGGACAGTTTTGGGTCTGGGAATGCGCATTTTTAAATGTCAGTTTGTCAAATAAAAAAGTCACAAGCACATAGTTTTAAGGTTTGCACGTTTTGCTGCCTTAAAGTCGTGTGGAATATTGCGTCCCAGCACAAACCAGCGTGAGCTTCAAGGGTTTCTGTAGGTATTGATTAAGTTCTGCGGCTGATACATAATTTTACAAACTGGCAAATTCTAAGTTATTAAAAATGCACGTGCAGCAAAAGTAACACAATGCAATTGTACTTTAAATTACAGTGCAGTGACTAATTATTTATTGCCTGATAAAAATGGCTTCTCACAAACAGGCTTTGTTTTAACCCCCTCCTCCTGCCCTTAGGTCAAAATGACCCCTGAGGCCTCAGTTTTGAAACCGGTCATTTTGACCCAAGGGCAGCAGGAGGGTTGAAATGACAGTACATTTAATACATCACAGTTAAGTGGGAGTCATAAACCTGACTCACAATTAACAAACAATACACAGAAAAAATGCCTTGTTCAAAATTTAGGAAACTGCCAGTACGTTTTGTGTTAAATGTGTCTTTAGTCTGAGCAGCAAAATTCATTTTCTTGTGTTCAACATTTTATTCATTCATTCAACCTTTATTTAAACGGGTAAATCCCATTGAGCCTCGAGGACTCATTTACAAAAGAGACCTGATTTCAACAAAGAATGATGAAAAACAATGGACAACAGCGACAATAGACAAATATAAAAAGGCATACAGATTTTTTTTTTTTACAAATATTTTTCTGTGTTCCAACATTTTATAGCACAAGTTAATCTTGTTTTCAGCGATATTATAATTGAAGCACACTGTCAGTGTTTGTTGCTGTTTATAACGGTGCTGCAGAAGAACAACTGTGATGCTATCCTTCATATTACAACTTGATTACATTTTCTTCTTAATTTTTATTATTTTATAGTTTCTGTCAGTACATAGAATAAAAATTGCTTGTAGTCGCTCTTAATTTATTATATATGGATCAAATGTTATCACAAAGAATTGATATGCCAATACATCTAGGTTTATTCCCAAAACTGCACTGATGCACACTTCCAGGCATTTCACTTCATGCTGCACATCCATGAAATGGTACAAATTGGTTAATCTTCATCACATCCCTGATATTAATTTTGTTTTTGTCTGCTACAGTGGTAATGAGTTCTGTTTAGCTCAGGATTAAAATAAACCTTTTGTTTGATGTTTTTTGCTTTTTAGGGGTTTTAAATTGGCCACCTGAAGACCTGGTTGGTGACAGATCTGGCACAGGTAACTCAGCTCGTTGTACTTTAATAATTAAGAAAATGTAGTTGGAGTTGTTTTGATGAATATCTACTTTTTCTAATGTGTGATACTCCGTGCTTAATTTTTCTTCACCGTAGGCCTGAGGGTATGTTGAGACATCTAGTCTGGCCAGAGCAGAGGCGTCTAGGTGGTTCAGACGGGGACTGAAGGTGAGGAGGAAGGACAGACGAAGGACCAGGCAGGAAGACATGGGCCAGTGTGTCACCAAGTGCAAGAATCCGACATCCTCCCTCGGCAGCAAGAGTGGAGACAAAGAGAGCAGTTCCAAGTCCCACAAAAGAGTTGAAAGTGCTAGTGGAGGGGGCCACAAAGAAGATTCTAGCGCCCCGTCTAGCAAATCCACCAGTGAGCTTTTGAATGGCACCAAGGCCTTGGAGGTTACAGTGGAGACACCAATCATCTCCACAGTGATGAAGGAGCCATACAAAGATGAAGGCCTGGATGGAGATGGGCTGTCATTGCTGCGGATTGAGGAGCTGTTCATATGTTACAAGGATGAACAGGAAGACGCCATCTTGGAGGAAGGCATGGAGAGGTTTTGTAATGATCTGTGTGTGGACCCAGCAGAGTTTCGAGTTCTTGTTCTTGCCTGGAAGTTCCAAGCAGCCACCATGTGCAAGTTTACAAGGTGAGGGGGAGTATGACTTGTGTTGTTTGCTATTAAAGGTGCACCAATTGCAGTTTTCTGGCCGATCACCGATTTCTAAAGTCTGACCAGCCGATTCCGATTTTGTTTTATAAGCAACACTGTCTGGTGTTCTACGGTCACAGTGCACCTTCAATTTTCCAATATTTTGTTGAGAAACATACCCTTGAACAATATCCTAGAAACGATACAAACGTTTTACCTGGCCATGAGGTAGTGCTCTGAAATATAAATGAAGTTTAGACAATTGCTGTTAAAACTAAAAAAAATCTGTAAAATCTGTTTCTCGTGCAAGTATCGGCCGATTTCTGGTTTTCCAAAATTAAAGAAATCGGGGCCGATTTATCGGTTCACTCTTATTTGCTATCATGTCCACTCTTTTTTTTGTTCTAGGTGATAAATAATATTTCTATATTAATTAAAGTACTTAACAAAATGGAGCATCTATAGTCACATAATAAGAACCAGAGAAATGTTGTACTTAGATCTTTAAAAGCAAAAGGTTTGGACACACTTGGTCAGAAGGGATTTATAAGTGTAACAAAACTTTTGGTTGTACAGGAACAATTTTTTTTGTTTTCATTAATACATTGTTTTAGTTTGTTTTTTATTCCAAGTTGTTGTTCTGTTTGTTGGAGTACATGGATCCAAAACTTTATGCAGAAACATAAGAAATGTTTTGTAGATATTTAGCCATATTATCCATCCCAGTATAGCAAGTTTTTAAATTCTGTTCATGCACCACCAACACTAAATTAACTCATCAGCAGTACCTGGTTACAAATGAAACTCTTGGTTGGTTATAAATAATACATGACATACAACCAAAAAATAGATTCTGAACAAGTTGCCATCTTATGTTCAATGTGAACACATGCGGACTTAAAACCTAAATGCTTAAAGTGATACGATCTTTTAATCGGGTTCTCTGAAAAACCTAGCCCTAACAATATCTTACCTGCTATAGGTAGTTATTTGAAAATTCTCACTTTAGAGAAATAAGTGTTTTCACTTCTGACCGGTTGACGAGCAAACTGCTAATCTAAGTCGGGCCAAGACCGAAGTAGATTCTACTTTTTTTGTTTTTTATTACGGTCTACAGAACTTGATGACGGTTTAAGCCAATGCTATTCTATAAACCTTTTATGTTGCCGTAAGTTTTGGATTATTTAGTGATCACTGTGTGCGTGATGTGGTGCATCCTGGACAGGTTTCAAGTCCATCACAGGACCAAATCATTTTTTGTAAATAAAAAGGTTTAGCGTTGAAAACTTTAAAGGTCTATAATAGTTTTTGAAAAAAATGGAAATGTTGAGCTCGGAATAGTGATAAAATGGCAATAATTCAGTTTTTGTCATTGCCCAGTTTGGTCTAGCAGTCAGCTGGTCAGTCATGGTTATTAACAGATTTGCTCACACATTTTTTAGGCTTAAAGTTGAATCCAATCCAGTTCAACTTTATTTATAAAGCACTTTAAAAACCATAAAGGACTAAAGTGCTGTACAGACAAGTTAAAAAGCACAAAAGGAATAAAATCCAACAAAAAAATGATTAAAAAGAGCTATGCAATTACAAAAAAACATAAAATGAAGGAGAATCAAATAAATAACTAATGAATTCAACATATCACATGGTGTCAAAAGCCTGGAAACTCATATTGTTGGGTATCTCCATGTTAATTTATTATTTGTTTTGTTTCTCATAATGTGTTTCAGTTAATTAGCCTTCATTATTGATAATCACAATGTCTTCAAACTATCATCCACTCAAATTAAATTTCAGTACCAATATCAGCCGCCTAACGCATACTTTTGTTTTAACGTTATAGTCTAAGATATTACACAACTACGCTATAAACGTCACTTTTTTTCTTAAATCTAGTTCTACAATTAAATCCAAAATGGAATGTGTCCTTTCTCTAGGTGCGTTCAGTAAGGAGCAGTTCATCATCCTCAGTATTTTTAATATCCTGCCTTCTAAAGGGAAAAACTGATTGGGCCACAGAAATATAGCTGAACACATTCAAACGCTGTCAGAAAGGGGCTCCACGGGAGGTTTGCAGTCTCGTTCCCAACCTGCCTGCAGTTGGTGTCAAGAGAAGAATAGGGCTCCCTTTTGTGGCTGCGTCATTTGTCCCCGCTCTGATTTAAACTCAGCACTTTTAGACAATACAACATACGTTTCATTGTCAAGTGATGCTAACTGAAGCGTTTTTATACGACTGTTTGCAAAGTCTATAATGATTAGTTTGTAATTCTGTAAAGTCTTTCTGACATTTGGTCGTGTTCTCTTCATGCCACCAGGAAGGAGTTTGTTGAGGGCTGTAAGGCCATCAGAGCGGACAGTATTGAGGGCATCTGTTCTCGCTTCCCCTACATGCTTCTGGAGGCCCAGGTTGAAGAGAACTTCAAGGACCTTTATCGTTTCACCTTCCAGTTTGGCCTGGATGCAGAAGAGGGTCAACGGTCACTTCAGCGTGAAATCGCCATCGCCCTGTGGCGGCTGGTTTTCACACAGGACATGCCTGAGATCCTGGAGCACTGGTTGGACTTTCTTGCTGAGAACCCCTCAAGTATTCGGGGCATCTCAAGGGACACGTGGAACATGTTCCTCAACTTCACCCAGGCTATCGGGCCTGACCTCAGCAACTACAGCGAGGACGAGGCCTGGCCTAGCCTCTTCGACACGTTTGTAGAATGGGAGTTGGAGCGCAGGAGAAAAGAGGAGGAACAGGCACTGATGGAGGAGGAGGAAAAGGGGAGGTGTACTGAGACAGAGTGTTCGACTACAGATAGGCTTGAAACTGAGGGAAGCCGTGGCTCACAGACGTGGGGGGGACACTGACAAGAAACATAACATATTTGTTTTTGAGGGAAGGACATAATCTATATGTGAACTGTACGCCTGGGAATCATTGGATAAATATTAGCATTACCATTTCAGCTCTTCATTTAACTTTCCTTTTGTGTTGGGATGGGATTTCTGCTATGCTTTTTTTAATTTTTTTTTTAGAAAGGGCTCTAAGAACTATTGTTTTATGCACTTGTATTTAAGTTATTTTACTTCCCCCTCCTCCCATGTGTTTTTAAAATGTGGTTTATTTTATTGTATGCCTACCTAACCCAGCAGAGTTAGCTCAGTGAAGGTTTGGTGTAAAAAAAAAATAAAAGGACAACAGAAGGCTAAGATCATTTTTTGCAATTTGACAGTTTTGGTCTGATAATACTGGTAATATAATTTGTATAAAAGGCTTTTATTTAAAGAATAAATAAATAAATTTAGGCTCCCTATTGAGTACTCCAATCCAAAACTTACTGCAGCGATTGGTGAAATTCTCTGGATTGGATTAATGCGAAGTAGACGGGTTGATTTTTATCTTGTAGTGCTGTGAGGATGAACTGTACTGACTTCACATCTGTTGGCCCACAATTGGTAATATATTTATGTCATAAGGTCTTTTAAAGAACAATACGAACTAAAGTTACAGTTGTATACTTTTATCAGTTTTAATATTTATTTTTACCCAAGTTGGTTCAAAGCAATCTTCTCTTCTGTGGTCAGTGTTTTTTTTATTTTAAATTTATTTTTTTTTTACTTTTGAGTGCTACTTGAACAGTGAGCAGCTTAGCTTGGTTGAGCAGCTTCTGTGCTTCTCCCTGATCTTCAGCATCTACCATATTAATGTCCACCTTTTTTTTCAATAAGCCGTTTCATGCAACTGAATGAGGCTGGCTTTTCTCAGCTGCCTCACTAATTTCACTAAAGGATTTTTTTTAAATCATAAAAATTAAAGCTAGATCTGAGTAATTACAGAGGGTGTCTAAACTGTCTTAAGACTGGGCAACTCTTAAAGCTCAGATTGTATTGCAAGAGTTTTAAGTCTTTGCATCTTTGAACTGCTTTACTATAAAAGTGTGCTCATTTGACAAATAATGCAAATTTTGTAATGGCAATGGTTGTAAAGAGTTGCAAAGAAACGGATGGCATGCAAATTTGATGTACTTGGAAACGCTTTGCAAAAACATTAATGTTAGCTGCCTTTTTCCCATTTGACAAAAGCATCCAAATTGTAGCTTGATCTTCTGTATAGGCATGGGTGTTTGGGAACGAGTGTTAAAATACCTGCTGGTTTATCAACAGACTGTGACAAGGGTTCAGATTTGTTTGGTTTACATCTAAAATGGTTTTATTTCACCCCCCGTTTTGTCTTGTTTTTATAAGAAATGTACTGATTTATAATAAACAGTGTTGAATTTTATACCTTGAATATTTGTGTGTTTGTACTAAAAACTGTTCTTTGTTTATTGAGCCATATGTTGGAGCTGTGTAGAGACATGACAGAAAGTGGGCGTGTCCAAGTGTTGTGGCCCTCCTGATTGGTGGAAATCTAAACTGGTTACCGGGCAACACAGGGCACATGAGGAAAGCCTTGAAAAAAAAAAAATACTCGGCAACACCGAAGCTAATATGCTTTACACGGACTGTAAGTAAGTTTGTTATTTATCAGAGCCTAACTTAAACACGTACGTTAACAAAATGTTTTTGTCTCCGTCAAGTAAAGTAGATACACGCTAGCTTATTAGCCTTTCAGTTTGTTGTTAGCGTTAGCCCAATCTTGCTAACGTTACCGCTGCTAACCATAGCAGTCGGTTGTGGGTTTAGCAATCCACAGAGGGGCTAAAATAAGTTAATCACGAACATATTTAAGAACTCTTCAGCTTATCTGTAGCAGTAAATGTTAGGATACTGCCTAACTAAAACGCTACCGATCCACCAGCTCTCCGCACTAACGGTATATGTTGTTGAAGACAAGTTTTTTTGTCTAAAACCCCCTTTTTTTACGATGTCTTAGTGTGCAATTGGTGTGGTGCATTGTTTATGGGTGTGGCGTACACCTGTACAGTTCAGGTAAAAGTTAACCTTCATGGTACTGGTGTCAACCTGCAGTGGGACCCAAACAGCACAAATATGAGTCAGTGATGATCAACCCTCTGTACAATATGGGATAGTGTCTTGTCAACATTGCTCTGCAGCACACTATGGACATGGAGGTGAGAGATTTGTGCTGCTTTTGATAACCATGCACTTGATTTACTATAACCAAACATTCCTTTCCATGATACCTGCTACTTTGAACATGTTATTACCTGCAGTAATGCATGTCTTACTTCACAGCAGCATCTAAACTAAACTGTCTCTTTGTGCCTCTGGATTCTACCACTAACAATTATTTTTCTTTAAATCTTTCCGTCTTCTTTGCTCCTGATACTGACCAGGCTATAGCCTAGTTGACTAGTAAAACCTTAAGTAAGAGCTTTCTAATGTCTTTTCTTTGTTCCGCATGAATATTTAAAGAATGGCATGTTTTAAGTGGCTGTGGTATGCTGAACATTGATGCTCCTTTTAAAGTTTAACACCACCACCAGCACGGTTATCTTGAAGCATCTGGTGTTGTCATCTGTGATTGTTTCATTTTCGTTGAGCTTAATTCAAGTCAGAATATAGTATATGGTGATAAATCAGATTTAATACACAATCACCTGATTGCAAATAACTCAGATGACTGTGATAATTTTTGCAAAATTGGTTCTTGCTGTTTAAATATGATTTGGTTGTAACAAAAATGCCATATTTTCACCACCCATTTTTCATTATTTTGGAGCTCTTTGTCTTCTTTAATGGCTCTAAATGTTCATCTTGATTGTGCTTCTATTCTGATAAAAAAAAGGGACTGTATTTTATTAACATTTATTGACATAAATTTCACAGATTTAGTTGCAGTTTTACATCACAGCACTGCCGTGGGCAAGCCCAGTAAATTGCAGGAATCAGTTTACTGTAAGTGGTTTGTAGTAACAAGGAATGGCAGTCTAAAATACATGTATTTTGTTCTTTGTATATATTTGTGCTTTATAATAACTTAGACATTGTTTACTATGCCGAGGGAAATTGTTAGAAGGTCTACCGGTAGTTCAAATAACTGCAGTCAGTGTTGGTCTTATTCCTAACAAGTGCAAGATAGAACTACTATTAAACAACAAGCCTCACTTTAACAGGGCATTCAAATATTAAGAAAACAATTGTCGTTGTTTGTTTTCACTTTCATTCAGGGATTGAATCTCAAAATTGAGTCTGCTGGGCTTTAGAGATGCATTTGTGGCAGTTCTGAAAACAACACATTTCTCAGTCTGTTGCAACAACTGTAACTCCAGTTTGATTCACATTTGGAGGAGCAACTTGCATGCATGCATGTTGTGGTGCGCAGAATGAGGTCGTTAGAAGCTGTGTAATGTAATAAATGTGTAATGTTCACTGGGACTGTTTATTTTCATTTTAAGCCTTTTTGTGTCCTCACTGTGTCTCTGTTTTATTAATGTGTGTGTTCTTGAAGGAGAGTAAGACGTTCCTAGGAGAGAAGCCTGCTCCTGCTGTAGATGACACTCTGGATGAATATTTAATTGCCCTCCAGCAAAAAAACAGGTGACACGTGAGCACGGGCTGCTGCAGATGGACAGATTGGGTTTCACAGAGGAGATACACAACTCCTTTTGTGATTTTAAGTAGTTCTTAGCATCCACACTGATTGGTTTCGTACTGTATTTGAGAGACAAAAAACGTGTTTCAAGTCAAAAGCAGCCATGCATGCAGTATTTTGACAATATGGTTATATTTAGAAAAGTTGTTGTATATGTCATGAATGAATTTTTGCTAGGTGTAACTTTTGAAAACACTTTTTTTTTCTGGTGTAATTTTAAAAAAAAGTTATTTTTTCTTTGTTCCAGAATTTTAAAGCGCCTCAGAGTGAAAGACCCAAAGGAGATTGAACTGGAACGATTGGAGCAAGGGTTTTCTATTTATCTTAACGGAGCAAATGCCGAATGCAGTAAAAAGCACCACAAGGGCTCCAGTAACAAGCCTGACACCTCTTTACCTGCTAGGAGAGCTGCACGTACAGCCGGTATGCTGCTGGACTACTTACTACTTAATTCAAATGACAGATTTTTATATAAAACCTTATTGCGTCTTGCAGGAAAATATGTCCTTACATATTTCTACACTGAAGTAAAAGCTGCAGTTTTAACTAATTTGATTCATTCTGTCATGTGAAGACCATATGGAGCCTGAGCTAATTGCCAACACTTTTCAGCTTGTATTTTTTGTAACATGTTTAGTTGCCCAGTTCCAGTGATGAAATGATAGTGACAGTTGTAGCTGCCAGCATTTCTCTTTTTTTATCTTCCTGTTTTGGTTTTTCCTTTATGTGCCGTGGACCATCTGCGTATGTGATTTTGTGTTTCCTCTCCTCCGAGGCTTACAGTTTGTAGCGAGCCACTCACGTTCCTTTTTGCATTGTGACTCATCGGCAGATTTCTGTAGAAGCGCCCACCAGCTAACGGAAGATAGTCGTCATCTGGATCATTCCAACAGGAAGAGAAGCCAAACTGCCCCAGAAAAGGTCAAGAGGAAGGAATGGGTGCAGGTGCAGGCCTTTAATGTTTTATTTGATCCTACATAAAAAATATTGACATGAATGCTGTAACTTTTTTTATTTTTTATGTGTAGGCTTCTGTTAAAATTAGAACAGAGGATGGCCCGTGTTTGGAAATATCCCCTGAAACGTGCTACTCTGAAGATTTTGAGCCCTATGAAAGTGTAGACATGGAGGTAGGGGATCATTTCTACTGACAGTGTGTGCAAGTGTTTTTTAGGGGAGGGGCTGTGTCAGATTCAACTACATTAACATCTCCCCGTCTCTCTCGCTTTTTTAAATTTTTTTTATTCAATCTACGTTCTTTTCAGAGATCGCCACAAAGTCCTCGCTGTCAGAAAGACAACCGCAAGGTTTCACGCTCCTTCAGCTCCAGGCCTGACAGCCAAGGAGGCCAATCAAACCAGGAGCACAGTGAGAAGGTGCTACTAAACCTCGAGGACGTGAAGGTGAGCAGAATATTTTTTTAAAGTTATGTTCTTGAGCTAACTTAGGATGTAATGAATTGACAATGCTCTGTTAATTTATAACATATTCCAAGGTTAGTCAATTTTTTTTTTTTTTTGTGGAAATCCTTAAACTGTCAGTTTAGTGCTTCTGTTTTTTGCTTGTGAGTGTTTGCGAGCACTGATGCATATAAACATTGACTTTTTGTAAATTAGGTTTTACGTCGAAGCCTGGAGGTTAGCATGCGACGGAGCAGCAGCGGCTCAGCAGGGGAAGAGCTGGACGAAGAGTGGGTAGAGGAGCAGATTGAGAGGGAGGAGAGCAGTGAGAGCCTGGATGAACTCGGGCTGCCTCTTTCTTCCTCCAAGTCCTCCGCTAATTCTCGGACAAGTGGGAGTCATGGCCATTTTGACTCGGCAAACCTTATTGTCCTGGACTTTGGACCCTCACCTAAAGGCAAGCTTGTTTTATTCTTATCCATTTCCTCAGCCATGAAGAAGCATTAACATCAGTTAGACATTTTGGTTTAAATTTCTAATTTTGTTTGCCATAAATGTGAGATGCAGATGAAGAAATGTTTGTATAATGTTTTTTACTGTTTCAGGTCGTAAAATTGAACGTTCACTCTCTGCAAAAAGGAAGGAAAGCATTGATCCCTTTATACCAACTAAACCTCTGTTGGTGAAGAGCAAAACATTAGATAGGCCACCTTCAAAAGAGAGCTGGGATGGTAAGAGTACATTTTTAAAATATAGTTGATGCCCGATGTTTAGATGTAAAACTTGTGTTTTGACTGATGCTGATTTATCCACGCCTGTTATACAAAGCCATAGTAAGAAAGTGTTTTGTTGCTTAAGGTCCAAGGAGTCGAGTGGAGAAGCCTCTTTCAGCATCCAGAAAAGCTTCAGTTGAAGAGCGAGACTCTGTAGAAGTTGCAAGCAACGTTTGCCAAGCCATACAGAGAGAAAACACCCCCGTACAGAATGATGAGGTCCTCAACCATGACAAGTTCTTCCTTACTGTCCTCATAATTCTTTCTTCTTCACTTAACTAGAGGACAACACTTTGCCTTTAGTGTTTACAGATGCTATTCTTCAGGGTGCAGCTTCTTCTGTGATACATGTTGATCTTGATGATTTGTGATTTGGTTTCTTTTCATCTAGGCCTGGGGACATCAGATGATGAATGCCTTAAAGCATCACAGCAAACATGACAAAGATGAGAACAATGTTACTCTGGCCATGCAGAGAATAACGCTCATGGCTCCAAGGTAATCTTGCAAACAGTGATGCCTACGTACTAGAGGTGTAACAGTACGGTGTATGTATTTATACTGAACCATCACTAAACAGATGTTTTGGACAAGTACAGGAACATACCCATATTATACTGAGGAGCATGCTCATGTTTTTTGCTATGATTTAAAAGGAGTAGATAAATACACACACATATATAGATATAGATATAGATGGATAGATAGATAGATGGATAGATAGATGGATAGATAGATGGATAGATAGATGGATAGATAGATAGATAAATAGTGATATATATATAGATGGATGGATAGATAGATAGATAAATAGTGATATATATATAGATGGATGGATAGATAGATAGATAGATGGATAGATAAATAGTGATATATATAGATAGATGGATAGATAGATGGATAGATAGATAGATGGATAGATAAATAGTGATATATATAGATGGATGGATAGATAGACTGATAGATAGATAGATAGATAGATAGATAGATAGATAGATAGATAGAT